CTAAGTCTTTTCTCATGTGCCCTTCAAATTCCATCTTTTTTTTTTTTTTTTTTTTTTTTTCAGATCTAGCCATCTAGTTTGTAATTTCTATTTTTCTTTGCTGTCCTGGGTATGATGATAAACCACATCCGTGTCCTGGGTAAGATGATAAACTACATCCAACAGCAAGGCCTCTGATCAGGGTTTCAGGAGCGTGAAACCACCTCTTAGTTGCAGGGGTTTCCAGGTTTAAAATTTACCTGGGGTGGTAGCACCTGTTAGGGTCCCAGCTATGGGTAAATAGTTAACCCACTAACTGGGGTCAAAACACTATGAAAATGTAAAAATAGGTTTCCAGCTATACATTTCTGTGAAAAAAATTACCTGCTATACATTTTTGAAAGAAATATTACCAGCGATACATTTCAGAAGAAAAAATATTGCCAGTGATAAAAATTTTGTCGCCATTAAATAATCCATTGAGGTTGCTATGCTGTAAACCATACCAAATAAAAAAAAAAAAAAAAAAAAAAAAACTATTCTTCTTTGAATTTCCTTGTTTGTCACATTTACTCAGTGGCATTCTCAACATATATCTGTAAAGCTACATTTATATTAGTTGCAATCTTTTCATTTGTGACAATGTCCAGCATTTACTGTTCTATAAAAGTGTAGACATTAGCAGTCCAATAATCTTTGTTTCTAATATTGTATTACAATCACTTAGTACCATACTTAGCTTCTGGGAAGTATCTTTTACTATTCCTTTAAATTTGTCACACATTCCATCATTTTTATTAAACTGCTTGGATAGTTAGATTTCTGAACTTAATTTTGACATCCCTGATGTGTAACTCACATTTTATACTTCCCTTTTTGTTCACAACCACGCACTCTTGTCTTTTTACTATTGTTTAATAATTTATTTTTTACTTTCCTTGACTACCTTGTTTAATAATTTGACATTTTCCTTCATAGAATATACCATCAACAGTATCATATGTGTACCATATTTTGTTAATATTATGACCAATATTAAATTAAAGCAACTCCTAATTCTCCTAAAATCATCTTGCTATATAAATTAAATAAATTCAGTGAGAAAACAATCCCTTTTTGTATTCCCCTTTCTATTTTGATGCATTTACTTAATTTGTACTCTACAGAAATTGTTTATTTTCTGGGCAACAGGAAATCACTTCACTGTCCTTCCTAAGGACACTTACAGCAATACACAGTTTACAAATGTATACTTATCTGTATTCATAGTTTCATGATTTGTTATAAACTACAAATATTGCATGTTCAATTTTTTATTGTTACATTATAAACTCTTATTAGGTCTCATATTTATTTTTACTTGATATACATGACCTAACCACTTTCATAATGCTTAATTTTCTAAGAAGCATTTCTTTCCTACTAGATGAGTAGTAACTATGAACAATGTCTTTGTTGGTGCTAACCAGTTTTTCATTATTCATAATAGACATAATGTTTGTTTACAATATCTATGTTTTATGAGAGGACACAAATTGTGTAATTGTTGAATTTTTAAAATTTACTTTGTAAAGTCAGTCTCTCAAGCTTATTGTTACATCTATAGGCAAATTAGGCAAACTCCAGTTTTTAATTATGTTTGGTGAATAGATTGTCTTGGACATTACTGTATATTACATTTTAATATACTTTTTATTCAGTGAATTGTGTGAGTCATTAATTATTTTTTTTGTGTGTTGTGTTCCTTCAAGACATGGTTAATCATGGTTCTCCACAACTTCCTAACCTTTGTAACATTTGTCTTTCTAATACATCTCCTACATTGTTTCACCATCCATTCACACAGGTAGGTAGGTTACTCAATGTTTCACAGTTCTTCTTGTCCTGTTAGTGTTCAGTTTTCTAGCCCTTCTTTTCTCATGTTGTAGAAATTTCTAAATGTCTTTTTTGTTTCCATTTTCCTTAAGACTTCCTGGTTACTTATGCATTATGCTCAGCATGCTTCTGGCTTCAAGATTTCTCTTCATCTGTGAGGAAATTCTTACATTCACTGCTATATAGAATTGATATTATATAGTAATTGACCCCTATTTTACTTGTTTCTAATGAAATTTTTGTGTTTCTTTGCTTAATTTTTGGAAGGCATATTTTTGCATTACAATGTGTTTGAATTTCAGTGTCATATTTTTTAACCTGTTAAAACACTTGCTAGATATTTAAACTTCTCTGTTTGTTTGATTTTGACATCACCAGTTTATAGTTTTCATCTTACACTTTCTCAACTATACTCCTTACAATACTGAAATAATCTATTTTACCTTGAATTCATATTTTGTGATATCAGCAGCAGCTTAGTCTATTAACAAAATTGTCCAAGCTAGGAAAAATTTGTTTTCTGATCATTTTTCAATTTATCATTTTATTAAATAGTTACTAAACCCTCTTGGGCTACTGACTCTTGATATATATATATATATATATATATATATATATAAATATATAAACAAGGTGATAATGCCACTAAGACACAAGGGGCTACTAAGAGTTAAAGACATTGAAAAGATTTTAAGAGCAGGAAAAAAAAGAATAAACCTGTACTCTGTTCAAAATATCGGTTGCATTGTGAACTGGGTGATAGGCAAACCTGTCTACTCCTATTGAGGAAAAATAGTAAATAAAATTTCTGATTTTAGGTAGACACATGGGAAGTATAGAGGAATTAGACTTTATAAGGAACCAGAAAGCAAGTCCTAAACAGGAAACCAGATAAACCTCAACTCTTGTTCAAAAGAGTATGTGAATCAGGCGATAGGTGAACTGCTATTGAAAAAAAAAGAAAAAGAAAGTAAATAAAATTAGGTAGATTTTTTTTAAAAGTAGGCTTGATTCTATGAAGTGAAAATTTCCTTTAAAGTTGTGTATTTTGTGAGAGTGGGGTGGAGCAATATGTTATGAAATGATTTTGAAACTTTGGTCTGTAAACCCTATTGGTTGGGGGATTTGCAATTTAAAATTTAACTGAATACTTTGAGGATAAATGAACTTGACAGTAAATCAAAATTTTTGATGGATCATCTGACTAAATATTGAAATGAACTTAAGACTTTCAGTGTCAGATATTAAATTTGTTATTGTGAATCTTTTGGCAGAAAGATGTCATCCATCACATGACTATTGAAAGACACACTTATTGTATACAAATCCATAACATATATTAGAATTTAAATAAATTGATGTAAGAATGATTTGAAAAAAATATTCAAAAGTTGCTTAATATTGTACTTCATTAATTCTGTTCAAAAACTAAATACTAAAAATGAGTTTATTAGAATAGAATATTTTCTTAATAGAAAGTCATTATATTTTCAAAGTTTTGAAAATATTGACTAAAGCAATTTAAACCAAAATTAGCTTATTTTTTATTTTTTATTTTTTTTTATTTTTTTTTTTTTTTTTAATAATTTCACCCCAAGTAAGGTAACAAAGCCACTAATATGCAGGTGGTTACTGAGTATGAAAAAATATAACAGATAATTAAGGAGCAAGAATAATAAAAGAACAAAAATTAAGAAGACGGAAGATAACGTTTGACAGCATTTAAATTTTTGATGAATTGGTGGTAATAATGACTATGAACTAATTACTTTTCTTTTCAGTTGCAATCTCTTTTTGTAATTGAATTTTTAAAACTATTATTAGATCAAGCATTGCTAATCATTATTAAACTAGTATTTCTTTCATATAATTTCTGTTACTTTTATTTCTGAGTACTCGGATTAAAAGAATATAGAGAATAAGTGTATATAGTTGATTTTCTACAATTATTGCTTGGAACATAAACAGAAGAAGAAATAGGATACAAGTCTATTTCTTACTGCAAGTTTATTTACTAACACTAATAGACTGGTGGTGTAAGTTGTGATAGAAAGTAAATGAAAGCAAAAAAATGCTAGTAAAAAGTCAATAATAAATAAAAGTTCAACTAATTCCATTTCAACACAGTAATTAAATGAATATAAAATGTTTATTTTTTATTTAACAAAATGGCAGCTTTGTTATGAATATTTTTTCTTCATTATTCTATTAAAATATTTAAGAATATTTTTATTTTACATATTTCTAAGCCATTTTACATTGGTTTGTAATTTTTATTAAATAATGCTTTAATATTTTGTGTTAGATATTTCTTTCTAGATATGAAATTCAACAAAATAGTTACTGAGTAATTCAAACTAAAAATATGCAACAGTTTACAAATAGCTCTTACATTCTTGTAGGGAGTGTAACAATATGACTTTGTTACACAAAGGTTTAAAAAAAAAAAAAGAAATAAGAAAAAACAATGTTTGACTGCATCTAATTGTTGTACTTAGTGAACCTGAAATTTTGTATAGACTAAAATGAAATGCTGTATTTTTCAAATTTTACAGAAGATATACAGGGTGTCCATAAATTCTTTTACAATTTAAAAAAAAAATTATTACAAAAGCAAATGAACAGACAAATATGTGGTAATTGTAACAAGATGAGTAGATATTGAAATTTTTTTTAACTAACTTATCACAGCTATATGGGTATCATTAGCTGCATGATGCATGTGAAGATTGTACTAGACTTACACAATGTTTTTCTCAGATGTTCTTGGTTGTCCACTCCTCCCTTTATCCAACCCTGTTCCTGTCTCCATAAATTTCTTGTGCCATACATGAATTGATGGATGTGACAGTGGATCACTTCCATACTTAGTTCTGTAATTCCGCGGAGTCTGTGTATCCAATTTTGTTTCGATAAACCACAACACACATGCCTTTTCTTAAGGAGTAACCATTTTTAGGGGTTCATTTAACAATACCCCCTTACATGAACAGGATACCTGAAATACACAAATGCAGTGATAAGATATCTCATCAATTGACTTTGTAAAGAGACTTGATGGACACTCTGTATATTTTTAAAAAATTTGAATAAAGATTCCATATAATTTAATCTTTTTCTTAATTTAATCTTTTTCTTATTGGCAGATTACATCAGTAAACTGTGTGGAGAACCGAAAGAAAAAGCAGTAACTCAATTGCTCTCTCATCTACCCCTCCTCCGCACAGGCAATGCCGATGCAAAGACTGCTTATCTGAAGATTATCCCTCAGGTCCTCTCTTATTCCATCGACAATGGAGTTCACATTGAGGAAAGCCGTCAGCTTCTCTCCTTTTCTCTTATTCATCCTGCCATCACTTGTGAGGAGCGTTCTCAGTTCACCATGTGGTTGGGATATCTCGAAGAGCGTTTCACCTACAGCATATACCATCAGAACAGGCAGAATAATTTCCAATCCAAGTCTGCTTTCTCAAACCGTAGTGGTGAGGATAGTTTACAGCAACAACAGCAGGGCGTACCGGCACACATTAACCTTGCAAATAGTGGTTGCTTAAATGGTTGGAATGAAAGGTCAGCAGCATCAGATTCTATGCCATTGACTTTAGAAGGTAGCTCTACAGAGCGCCTTGGTCCTATTCTTGCTAAATATGCAAAACCAGGTGCTAATCGTAACAACACCAACAGTGGTAATGGAGATCGTGGGGTCCCATCTCATTCAGTTCACGGAAAGTTAGCAGGTCATGTTCCACTGCATGCCACATCTTCAGCACCTCCAAATACTGCATCTGTACAAGGTAGAATTGCTTTTCAATTTTTCTTGTGAATTTAGGGGTAAAAATGTACATGCATACAGGGTACAATGGATAAATTGTCTAAATTATGCAAAAATGTAAATAACACTGACATCACATTTTAACAGATATATTTACCAAAATTACACAAATATCTTAAAATACTAAAGAGTAAATTTATTCAATAAAATCCTCATTGGCTTGAACCATAGCCTCCAGATGATTTTGGAATGACCTGCAATTCTTCTGGATTTTCTCTTTGTATAAATTAATGAATGCTACCATAATCCTTGCCTTCATTTCATCTTTGGTGTTACAAGGAATTTTGTTGGTCTCTCACTCAACTGCATCCCCACACACATTAATCAAGGGGGTTGCAGTCTGGGTGATGTTAGATGTAATGGGTGATGTTAGATGTAATGGGTGATATGGTCACAGAAATTTTCTGACAGGCATGACTGGTTTCTGATTTACTTGTGGGAATCATTTTCAATCATGGCCTGGATATCACCAACAAATTTAGGAATTCTTTTCTTATCAGAACAATCAATCAGTGTGAGCTTTCCAAGCTGCCATACCTTTGTATTCACCATTAGAATTATCCAACTCTTTCCAAATTCTCTGCATCATTCTTAGATTGAGACCCATTCTGAAATGTTTATATTAGAGCTTCTGGTGTGAATTCTAAGCAGTACAGCATGGCATTTCTAGATTTTTAGCAGAGTGAATTGCATCATGGCGCTCTTTTTCTCACAAATGGTGCCCAATTGATCGTACTATACTGTGCAGTTGACAAAATCAGACAAACAATGCATATACACAAAATTAAAAGTATGAAATGGCGACAATTTACCCATCGCACCCTGTATAAAAATGAAATTCCTAGCAAAGGTGATGTTTTGATGATTAGTTATCACCTTAAAATGGTAAATGTATTTTTCTTTATTTTTTCTTTTTTTTTTGAAGGATAAATATTTGTGCTTATACACATTTACATTATTCGGACTATTGTCCTCATCTTTGTCGCCATATTTATCACAACGTTTCGGACGTTGTACGCTCCGGCCTTCTTCAGGTGGTTGGAATTTCAAAGAAGGCCAGAGCGTACAACGGCCGAAACGTTGTAATAAATATGGTGACAAAGATGAGGACAATAGTCCGAATAATGTAAATGTACATAATACCTCATCTCAGAAATATAGACAGATTTGTGCTTATCTTTATGAAAAATAGCTGTAAAGAAGAAATTGCTTCTGTTTTTAACGTTTTAATAAAATGTATTAAATTTATTAGCCATGGGGTCATGCAGTTTGTGTCTGCATGAAGATATGTAAACCTAAAATTCTCTCAACTACATGCAATAATAGATATCTTTGCATAAATATAAAGTTTTATTAGTTCAAAGTATATAATTTCATGAATAAAGACTTCATTCATTTTAATGACATAGATAAATTTGAATGTACACAACATGCTTCATGTTCCATTGGGGAATAGGTGGAAACAAAAGTTACTATAAGTTGATGTGAAAAATGTATGAGAACAAAACCTTGTATATTTTTCAAGCTTAGTTTGCTAAAGCAGCAGCCTTGGAGATATTGTCAAAATGATGGGTTTTCATTTTATCTAAAGTTAAAAGATGCGAGTCTGCATAGAAAAGATAAACAAAACTGATGTTTCTTTAAACTTTCATACTTTCTATTCACAATTATTGCATTCTTCTGCATGTCATTTTTTGCTTAATTTTCAGGATTTACTGTTTTTGTAATTTATCTAAGTACACTTCCATGTAATAGACTTAAGTGAAGATGCTATATGGAATTTTTTTTTCTATAATTATCTTTTTTATGAAGGATATTTGCATTTAAAATTTTACTTGCAAATCATTTCTTTATTTCAGATGCAGTTAAAATTTCCCTATTTTTATTCTATATTGAATATTTAAAACAACATTTTTCTTTAACATTAGACTTTTTTGTTTGATAAGTTTAAGCTCTTTATAAAGCTCTTATTGATTGTATAGCTAATGAAAATTGCAAAAATGGCATTTATTGTATAATTTTTTTTTTTTTTTTTTTTAACAATTGTTCTCATCATCAAACAATACAATAATTACACTGGTCAAAAAAAAAAAAAAAAAAAGAAGAAATTGAAAGGGTGTTGAGACACCAAACATTTTTTTTTTTTTTAGCTAACTTGAAGGCATTGACTCTGAAAAATTACCTTACTTTTTCTTGGTTAGCTACTGTTTTTGCTGTACAGAAATGCCTCATTTTTTGGGGGAAAAAGGATTTTTTTCATTTGTTTTCTGTATATATGATATTGATGTTATTTAAGTCCCTTTTGATGCTCCAGCAATATCATTACAATGGAATAGGTGCATTTAATTGGGATGTCTTCCAACTGTGAAAACAAAATGCTCTCAATGTGCTTGGTTTCCTTCAGTAGTGAAGGGGTAAAATTGATGGGATAAATTTATGAATATCAAATTGAAGATTTTAGGGTTTCATTTTTTTGATGTTACCTTAATTATCAGGTTTACTAAAGTATTACTGATAAAGTTTCAGCTAATTTGAATTTTGGCAATAAATTGGAAAAATTTTGTACTTCTATTCTAAAATTTTTGACTCTAAAACAGTTTTTTCTTATAAAAATAGTTTATTTCAGGTGGCTTACATAAATTGCTTGGGCTACCTGAAAGTTGATAGGTTTCTATGACTTTTATTAACTAAATTTTGTGAAAGAATTTGCCAAGATTGTAAATTGATCTTTTTTTTCCAAAAATGAGCAATTTCAGTACAGCAAAAATGGTAGCTAAGTTAATTTTTGGAAACAGCAACATCAAATTAGCTAAGAAAAAAAAAAGGATTTTGTTTCTTGGCACCAAAAATCGTGTTGACCAGTGTTATCAATGTATATTTGTTTCCTCTTCTATCTTAATTCTCAGAAAACCATTTAGTTTTTAAAATATTTTAAATAAAATGAAAGACTTAAAGCAACAAAAAATGTTCTACAGAAGTTTGCTGAGAATAACATGTTAGCAATGGTAGTTTTTAGAGAAAATGGAAACAAAAAGGCACTTATACGTAAGATCAGAAAAAGTGATGAAATTTCAAGGGCACACAATGAAGAGGGCTTGGAAAATTTGATACTCACATGACAGACTGAAAGCAAGAGAGGAAAACATCACATGACCTACCTAGTGAGCTTCTGCAAATGGATGACAATAGGTTTTAGGAGAGATAACAAAAAAATAAAATTTACAAAGAGTTACCAAAGACAGGAAATTGTGGAGAGTCATGATTGCCAATGTTTTGATGGAACACAGCCCATAGAATGTACAAAAATATAAAATAGATTGGTTCTGTAGAATTGTAAAATGAGTTGTGAGCTTTATCATTAAAGTTCTTTTTAAACTTATATTGACCAGATTCATTGCTTCTTGATTTGCATTCAATGTTATTTGCATATTGGGAGCTAAAATGAATACTTAGATATTTTTTTTTTTTACACACACTAATGTTCATCCCTGGAGCCGCTTGAGGTAGGGGATTACAGAGTAATAGGCACAGTTTATTCAGATATGTGGGGAAGATAACAGTTAACACTAAACTTGAATTGGTTAAGATTGTGGTGATAAGGGAAAACATCCTCTTGGGACAGTCGGACTATTGTCCTCATCTTTGTCGCCATATTTGTCACAACGTTTCGGCCATTGTACGCTCCGGCTTTCTTCAGGTGGTTGGAATTTCGAACTGAACCCTTTATTTCGATCACTGGGGTAGACTGTTCTAGTTTCACGTGCCATGTTTGATGGATGTTAGTTATCAGTTATCTCCTGCTAATTTTCCCTCTGAAAGTTCTTCACTGTCTTAACCAGGTATTGAACTCACCTTCTTTGGGTCTGTCACTGGATCTAACCAACGCCTTTATCCACTGTGCCATAGTCCAACTAATGTAAATACTGTACATAATACCTCATCTCAGAAATATAGACAGAATCCTCTTGGGAGTTGGTTCCACAGAGCAATGGTTTGTAGAAAAAAGCATAGTGGGTCCTTGCTGTGAAGATTAGAGCTGGTGAAACTAAAAGTTGTACCTTTCTGAGCACTTTCCATGAATAGCAATAGAGCAATGAGGCTTGCAACATTTTTGTTTGTGAGAGAGAGAGAGAGGTTGCAGGCTGGAAAATAATTGGTCACTATCAAGACAGGAAAGGGAAGATGTATCTCTTGCCCAAATATGACAGCAGTACTCCATTTTAGGTCTGATCTGACTCTTGTAAAGGTAGAAGATAGCATGAGAAGTCAGGAACTTACTGGAGTGGTACAGAGAACTGACCATTTTTCCAGTATCTTTAGTGATGGGTCATGTGTACAAATTCCGCTTGTTGAGCTTAAAACCTAATAATTGCTCAAGGCATGGGGTTTCCCTCAGGGAGAATCCATTTATAGTGACTGGTGGTAGTTAAGGATACAAGCACTGATGGAATGTAAATAGTTTGGTTCATTTTTTAGATAAAATAATTTTCACTTGTATTTTCAATTCTCTAAGCTTTGAATTTACATATAAAACAAGCTTGTTTCACTTAATTATATGTTTAATTTTAAGTGACTTAACAGATTTTGAGATTTATACATTCATCCATTCACATATAATAAATTATATATACATAATCATGAACTCAATGTATAGCAGGATTAAAAGTCTTTGAAATCTAATTGTTCAATAAAATTATCATAGAAACATTACTTTAGAAGTTAATACTGATGTATACATATATAGTGATTAAATAAAGTATTCTATAACTTATATCCTAATTCAGTTTTGTGGTGATAAATCCATACATCATTGATATGATAGATCTATTGAATTTATTAACAGATATCATGTCTATTTTAAAATACATTACATAAAAATATTAAAAAGTTATGTCAACTATAACAGTGTAATTATCCCATTTACATTATCAAACAATTTCAAATTAGATAATGTCGGGTAAC